AGTAACTACAGAGATATTTCATGAGGTCCCTACCACATCTACGAGAATCGTTTCCAAATCACATGAAACTCAGGTTTTATAAAACTTCTAATGCTGAGCATTTATATAACAAAAACGTGTTGTTAAAGGTTCTATTTTTGACTCCATTTCAATGAAATAAACTATCAATTCGATTCGGCAAAACTGTGAAAAACAATCTTTTTGAGTTTTGTTTTGGTTTTTCACTGTTTTCAGTATGTTGAGTTTATCTCCATCAAAAATAGAACCTTTAACAACACGTTTTTGTTATATAAATGCTCAGCATTAGAAGTTTTATAAAACCTGAGTTTCATGTGATTTGGAAACGATTCTCGTAGATGTGGTAGGGACCTCATGAAATATCTCTGTAGTTACTCTCTTTTGATGTCTTGAGAATAGGTTTTAATCAACCTAAACACTCAGGAAAAACAGTTCTAGATAGAAGAACTAGGCGACAGAAAGCTGTTCGTGTGTGTTCGTAGATTTTGATCCACGTTCGATGCTGGTGTTTTCTTTAAGACAACTTCAAAGTTAGTGTCCGTGAGTGTTCACGTATTTTACTAATACCCAGATAAAATACTTAGCGAAACAATTTGTGATATTACCAGACTAAAAGATGTTTGCTTTAAATTCTATGATCATTATCGCTCAGTTATTAACTATGAAAAGCGAGTGCTGTTCATATGTGCTTGGTACAAAAAAAACCCTTTCTATTATCATTTGATTAAGGATCTTCATCTCCATTTGTAGTAGATCTATTGAAATATTATTTTGTACAATCTATTGCTTTCATATAAAATAAAATCGAAAGTGCTGGTCACTAACACATTTTAGTAAATGACTGTGGACTTTTCCCAATGCGACATTAATGAACTGTCAGAAAAAAACTGAATCTAGTGTGATTCTTATGTAACCGATAGATTTCAACAAGATTTTGAAAATATAGCCTCTGAAAAACCAGATGATTCTAAAAGATCGGATGTGAAAATTTCTCATATTCCCTAGACTGAAAGGATCGGGTCTAGAAACCGAAATTCACCTGTGTATGCCTATCTGTCTACAACACATGGCACAAATGACCAAAATGATGGTACCAATGATCATAAGGATGATACAATTGTTCGGAAAATGGTATAATGGACCGTTGCGACTATATAAATAGCCACAAGATGGTCATTTAGACCATATGATTGATCATTTGTGCTATATTTTTGGTCTGCAACCAAAGAGGTAGCACAAATGACCAAAAGTATAATCAAATGCTGATACGTTTGGTTCAAAGGACTCCATGAATGATCGACATGAACAGCTTGTGCTTATTATATGGTGTCGTGATGGTCATAGTGCCATCGTTTTAGTTACACGTACGAGCTGTTAGAGACAGACAGAAGTAAACAGATATAGGTGAATTTTCGTTTCTTTACTAGTCTCTCAGTCTAGGGTTGAGCAAATCGACTGTCGGTGAGCGTTAACTGTTATTACGTTTACATTCCAAAATTAAAAATATAATAAAAAGCGAATATCTTGATCGAGGCTCGTTATGGGCATGTAATACTTCAAATTTCATAGTTTGGCACTGAAAATAATAATTTGACCCGAACACGGTCAATGTTCCTGCGTATCAATAGAAAAGGGTTCTACTTCCACTTTTAGATAGCGAATAAGAAAAAAAGTATAGTTTGAAAATTTTCAGTAATAAAGTCAGTAAAAAATTGTAATTTTAATTACAGGAGCAATTTTTGCCCATTTCTTTACAACCGTCGCCAATATCCTATTTTTTTCTGTTAAAAGATGATAGAAAAATCAGAAATCCATGTATTCATGATCAGTGCATTGAACTCTATTCAACGATGAAAAAACAAAACAAAAAAAGTTTTAATTCTAATGTTGCATTATTCGCATCTTGCTGTCTTGCGTAAACTCTGAGGATTGAGCTTCAGGTGAAGTCTAGTAGATCATATACCTCTGATTGTATTTTCCTAGAAAAACAAAGTCTTACTGGATTTACTTAATATTTCTTCACTTGTAATTAAAAAAATATTGTAAGTAGTACTGTGTCGCGGATCTAGAAAGTAATAGATATTGAGAAAAACACAAGTTGCTTTCTTTGAGAAAACAACCCAGTCAGACAAGCAACAATAAATAATGCGTAAAAGAGCGTAAAAACCGCACATTTTTACGATTTTTATTTCGTTAGAAATGTAACGAGTTTTTACGCGTTTTCTTGCTGAAATAAGTGACCTTTTAGGGGACTAACAGCTATAATTCCTAGCCTTAGGTTGTTTGATGATTTATGAGCAACCTAAGTCTACAGATTATAGCTGTCATTTCTCTAACAGATCGCCTTTTTATGCGTTATTTTTCGTTGCTTGTCTGCCTGGAAAGTCATCTTCCGCGAATTATTATTGATCTCTCGTCGTAGCTTCTCATGTCGTGATTGTAAATGTCGATGTTGAGAGATATAGTTGTTTTGTAAGCAATGCGTCTTTCAGCTCGGTTCCAATCTCAATAATGAACAACAGAGTTCTTTCGAAGATATCTTTATTTTTTTTAGAAGCTGCACATCTCTCACATCATACGATGAATTTATTCTTGTCTTTTTCAAAATTCACACTAGCTTCAAAGATGCAACTTTTTCAGATGTGGCTGTGTTTCTCTCTCTTTCTCTGATTTTCTTCATATGTGAAAGTACTGATATTAGCAAAACAAAACGAATTCGATATCATATGAACAGTTTTCTGAAAACAGTTTCGAAACATGTAAGTTTTTCTAATCACTATTGATAGTGCTAACCCTACCACTTCGTTCTTCTGGTTACAATTTCATATTTTCCTATGAAACATAGAGCAATAAAAACATCTAGCATGGTAAATGCTTTATTAGTTCTTATGGAAGGCATGCTCCCATTTTCTCATTATTTACGACAAATACCCGAAGCGGAACGTATTTAGTTGAGTTAAGAAGCAGTCGATAAAATACAAGAAGGATTTTCTTTTCCTATTTCTTTGTTGAATACATGAATTCCTTATAATCCATGAATATTAGGCGTTACTACTGACTTATTGTTACCGTTATTCTCTCTTACTACAATAACTTACTAATGACAAGAGAGAAAGAAAGAGAACACCGTTCTTTTTTGTCGATTGAGTGCAACAGAAAATTAGAAAACAAGTCAATCATAGTGTAGAGGCAATAAAAACAAAATCAATTTGTAAATTGTCGGTAAGTGTGTGTTGTAACTGGAGAGTAGTCACAAAAGATCAACATTCATCTCTTGTAAAAAGTCATTCGAGGCTTCTTTTGAAAAACATTCACTTTTGGTACCCTTTTATCATTTCAACCGCTTGACAGACTTATCTGAATTGGAAAAAACCTCAATCTCTGTTAAAACTCTCCGTTTCTTCAAAATTTCTGACTGACACTTGACTTCTTTTCTTCTTGTATCGTGCTATGCAGTTGTATGAATAGTTTACAATAATTTTTTCGTAACGTCTTAGTCATCTTTGTGAGAAAAAATATGAATCTTTCTAAGTTTATTTTCAATAGAAACCCTTGTTCAATTTTATTCTAGTTTTGAAATGGCTTGGGAATTAGAATTGAATGCAACACTTTTGGAAGAGTTATATATTTGGATCGACAGTATTCCGTTATCAAAACCAAAGAAACGAATCGAACGAGATTTTTCCGATGGTAATTTAAAATATTTTTACTGAACTAATAAGGTTTGTTTGTTCATCTTAGGTATCTTGGTAGCTGAAATTATTCGATATTATTTACCTGACCTGGTCGATATGCATAATTATACGTCAGCCAATTCATTTAATCAGAAAAAGATCAATTGGGGTATACTAAATAAGAAAATTTTGTGTCTGTTAGGTCTTGATGTACCCGAAAAAATCATCATTGATCTATGTAATGGAAAACCGGGTGTAGTGGAAATATTTTTATTCCATTTAAGATTAAAAATAGATGAAGAAATTGAAATAAGACAAAAAGGAGAACAACAATATTCGACTTCACCACGTCAATCATTGCTTGCATTGAATATTGTCAACTCAAAAAAGGAAAACACAAACACTGTTTCAAGTCGATCAAGCCGATATAGTAAACCGATTTGTAATTTCAACAATAAATGGGTTTCACGTTTGGCTTATGAAGAATTGAAACAACAGTGCTTGCAACAGGACGAAGAAATTCAAATACTCCTAGCAAAAATGCGACGATTAGAACATGTTGTTCAGCTCAAAGAGATTCGTATTAACGAACTTGTATCTATGGTTGAAGACACTCGACGTACAAGGCTTTATACTGTCGGAGCTAGCAAGCATAAAAATAAATAAATCTCTGCTACTTATCACAATTGACAGTCTCTTCCATATCGATAATCTTCAATAGCCAAAAGAAAAAATAAATAAAAGATTGATACCAAGTCATCTAAAATCGATAAACTATGCGCACTACATAAGTGATGATGCAAACTAGACAAACTCATCTGATACCTTGTATCATTGTGTTGATTAGAAGATACATTCGTTTTAGGAGTTAATAGTTGATCAGCTTTTTAGAATACAATTCTGATCTTCAAATAACTGGAGATATTGTTAATATAATTTTGATATCAGAGAGACTCGTTTGAGGACATATTAAAGTCTTCAGCCACAGTAAGTTACGTCGACCACCGGATATATAGATAAGGGGTCGTCGTCTGCACAAGAATATAAGAGCTCACATAAAAAGGCTTCATATTTTTGTCGTTGCAATGCATGAATAAAGTTTATTGATATTGTTGTAAATATAATTGATTCGAAAAAACAACACGATAAATCATAAACAACTAAAAAATATAAATGCAATAAGACTAATAATAATAATATTTATAATGATAATGATATTGCTTAGGGAAGGAAGAAAATCAACAACTGA